GTTAAATGGATCCATTTAGTCAATGGTTTCACTTGTGGGAGGCACTTTTAAAATTTTAAAGGTGAGCGAAAAACAAACTTACGACAGCGAACTATAAATTTTTAAAAGACATTTTCTTGCTATCCAAACGCGTCGTGGGGAAAATAAAATTCCCGATTCAACAAAAAAAAATCCCTCTTTGTTAGCATTTATGCGAGACGCCGAAACCCTGTTGAATGAAGGAAGAAAATTCTCCCTTTGGAACGCAGGGGTGAATTCATTTGCTTGTCTACTCGATTTGCATTCATTGTTAACAGCTATTGTTTTTTGAGCTGCTCTTGATTGGATCCCATCGTAAATTATAAATCAAGAGACCAACTTTTGTCCCTTTTCTCTATCAACTTTAGGGGCTTTCATAGGAGGGAGAAATTAAGGGGAAAATTTTGGATTCAATTATTAGCTCTTGAGCTGCTTTTTAGCTCCACTTAATTGTTTCCTTTCTGGGTTTTGCATTAATTTTGATTCTATTCGGTTTTTCTGGCGTTCCAAGGGAAGATAAATTCTGGGGATCGTTTGGTTTGCCTAGTTCTGATTCCAAGTTTCAATCTTTCCTTAGCTTTTTCTGTTGGGTTGCCTGAGAAATTCTGTATCGTTGTTGGGTTTTGGTAGCTTTGTAGGGCCCTAGGGGATATTTGATTAGGTTTGGTGAAATCTCTTATAAACTTTAGGATTTTAGGGTGTTCGTTCTTTATTGTGATGGTAGAATTTTCCAGGGTTTTGCTTGTGTTGGGGGTTTTGGTAGTGATGAAATGAAAAGAATTGTACATGCTGGTGATGCTGATCCAAGAACAAATGGGTATCACAAGAACAATTTATTTCACTTTTTTCACGATTCTGCTTTGTGTGTCATTGGCTGTGAGCATGGATTACAAAAGGCTGGGAGAGGAAATGTTTCTCAGCCGATTAGTTGACCCTTCAACCGGGGAGATTGATGAGAAGATGGTAAGGGACTATTCTTTCTTCTCTGCTTTTGATTGCAAATCAATTTGCTTGCTCAGTTGCGTTTGTTTAATTCAATGCCTTCGGAGTTACATTCATCCTCTTTTTTTTTTTCTTTTTTTTTTTTTTGGAAATTTTGGTAGCAAATGATTAAGTTAAAAACGTTTTCAGACTTTTTGATTGTGATAGAGATAGTGGAAACCTGAAGAACATATATTTTGGATGAGTTATTAAAGATTTAGGTAAGAGCTTTTTTGAGAGATGAGCTTTAAAGTTTAGCTTTTTATGAATTTTAAGGATCCTTAGAGATTACAGATGAGAGCAAGATAGCTTTGTATATAATAATTCAGTCATAAAAGGTTGTTGTTTTATAGATTATTTTTCTATAATTAGTTTGAGCTATCAAAGTTTAATTGAGTAATCTCAGTACTGTTTTATCTTTTGAGGTGTATCTTTCTTAACCTACTAGTTTAAATTGGAAATTGGGAGAAGAAAGGATCAAGGCATCGAGTGGAAGGTGTTCAAGCATATTTAAGAACATTTTAGCAAAAGATAATGATGTGGGGAAATTGTTTTTAAAAATTTATGTGAGAGATCAGGGGTGGGTGGAGGAAGAGAGAGGGTATTAAGATAACCACAGCTTAGGTTTGAAATCTAGCTCTGGCAGTTCCAAAGTCCAAACTAGTACCAATAAAACTTAGTGCAAAGTGTTTTTGCAGGTTTTTACTACCATAGGAGTGGAAAGGAAGAGATTTTTTCTTTTTGATGTACAGAATTAATATAGTTAGTATATGAATTAAGAATTCTTGCCCTGTAATGAAACATGGATGAAACAATATATTACTGGAGTTGTCATTGTATACATGTGATTTACTATATGCATCTGTGCATCTTAGTCAAAAACACCCAGTTGCAAACACTGAACTCTCTTTATGTGTGCATGTGTACGAGCATGATTTGTTACATCTAAAAGGCTTCATGTATTGCCTACAGTGGGGTACCCTGGGTCACTTGGTAAGTGATCAATCTATTTGAATTTGGTGTTTGCAGGCTGAGCTTTTGTGGATAAGTTGCAGGCAAGATTTGATTGATTTGAAGAAAGCTTTTGAAGGTCCCTACTTATGTCTTTCAGAGGAAATGCCCAGTTGTTCTCATGTGAACAATATGAAAAGTCACTCTTTGGCTAAAGAAAACATTCGGAAGCTGATTGATGTGCTTTATCCCCAGTTAAAGCAAACTCTATTGGACTGTATAAGAAAGAAAAATCTTTTGGATATGGTATCTGGACAGGAAAGTCACCCTAAAATTTGGTACCCTGAGTATCTTGAGTCATTATTTCTCAGGCATGATGCTCTTAGAAGGAATTTGGCTGATAATAGCATTGCCAATGAACCCACAACAAGCCCAGCCTCAGCCCCAGCCCCTGGGCCCTCTGGTTTATCACCACCTAGCAAACCTTATGGTGCTGCACCTCCAAAAAAGCCCTTTTTTCCACCAATAGATTCAAGTTCAGGGGCTCCAGTTTATTCTGGAAATTCTGATTCTAGTTCAAATGCACAGGAAACAAAGGAGAACACTAACCATAAAATTATTATTGCTGTTGTTGTAACTGCAGTGGTGACATTTGTTGCTGCAGCATTGCTCTTTTTGTGCTGTTTCCGTCGTTCTGGAGGTAAACGAAATGATGAAAAGCCCCTTCTTAGCTTAAGCTTAAGTGACTACTCTGGTAGGATATATTTTATCGCATGTCATTGATATCTATGATTGTGTGGCACATTTTTGATGTTATTTCAAACCTTTTTTTTCTTTCAGGATCCTCTCAAGCATCTTATGCTTTTGGAAATTCTATTAAAGAAGAGAAGCTAAGTTACCAATCATTTGGAAACTCCAGCCTTAATAAGGGGGCTTCATCTTTGGATGGCAATGTTTATATTGAATCTGATGCTGGTGCTGCCAAATCAGCAGCTGACTCCTTTGATAAATCCAACAATGCCAATGCACCACTACCACCTCCTCCTGGAAGGGCCATCCCTGCCACACCTGGATTGTTGCCTTTGAAGCCTCCTCCTGGCAGAGCTGTTCCCCTCACCCCTGAACCACCTGCCCCCATTAGAACTGGTCCTCCCCCTCCTCCTCCTCCTCCTCGACCTCCTGTACCCCCTTCTTCCCCCTTGAAATCCTCTGCTGCCAATGCAAGCCCTCAACCTCCTGGACCTCCTCCACCACCACCTATACCTGCCAGCAGCAAACCTGGTCCTCATCCACCACCCCCTCCAGGAGGTGGTGGTCCTGCCCCTCCTCGTCCTCCACCACCACTGCCTGTTTCTAAGGGACCTCGACTGCCTAGTGCACCAAGACGCCCTATTTCTGGCGAGGATGGTAGCACTGGGGATGGAGCTAGTTCTTCTAAAGCCAAGTTGAAACCATTTTTCTGGGACAAAGTAAATGCCAATCCTGATCATTCAATGGTCTGGAATCAGATTAAATCTGGATCATTCCAGTAAGTAACATTTCTCTTGGTCTTGGTTTCTTTTAGTCCCTACCCATCCATCCCTCATTAACTAGGTTGCTGGATGTTGAAATCACAGGTTTAATGAGGAGATGATAGAAACTCTATTTGGGTTTTCAGCTGAGAACAAACATGAGAGAAAGAGAAGCTCTTCTTCAGAGAAGATACCCCAGTTTATTCAGATTCTTGATCCGAAGAAAGCACAAAATTTATTAATCCTTTTGCGAGCATTGAATGTGACAACGGAAGAACTTTGTGATGCACTTCAAGAAGGTGAGTTTCTCCTCCTTTGCTGCTCTAGAAATTTACCTGTCAAACATATGATCACAAAATGGTTTCCAGGAGTTTTTCTAAGGGAGAGAAAAAAAAAAAAAAAACAAGAATTGTGATAAATTACTAATATAGAAATATGTTGCTGGTTGAATAAACCAACAAGCAGGATCATTATTGACTATGATTTTCTGCTTTGTAAAATTGTAGATATTATCATTAACAATTACTGTATTAGGAAAGAATCCAATAAGACAGTTGATTTGGTTAGTGGTCTTTGAAGGTAATATGCCTTTTGTTGAATATGAAAATTATTAATAAATTTAACTCTCTTTAATGGTGGAGTCTAATTACATTTCTTTAAATTATGAGGGTTGGTTCCTTGTTGTTTTCCAGATATCCTACTTTGTATGCCTTATAGTCCTAGTTATTATGGTATTGTAGTATGGTACTATGGTTAGTGTTTAGAGTTCAGTCTTGGTTTGTCTTAATTGACATTTGAGGACAGAGTGATCACAACAGAAGGATCTGGTTGCTGTAGAACTAAAGAAAAAAAATATATATTGGGGTTTTTAGCTGATGTATTGGGAAGGTATGGTAGGTGAACTTTTGTCTAAAAACATGTGCAGTGTTTTGGGAAGGTATGGTCGGTGAACTTTTGTCTAAAAACATGTGCAGTGTTTAAGGTTTCCAAGGTATAAGAAGGAATTAGTACCTTAAATTAAATTCTCCTGACTATAAGATACCAAGTTGACCCCATGATGGGCTCTTTCTAAGTGTGAAGGTCAAAGTCATTATCCAATTATTATCCTGATGAAGTGGGATACTTTGAGAAGTGAATTGAAAGAGTTGTTCCCTTCATCACTCTGGTACTGGTTATGCTCAAGACTAGAACCTGCATTCTTATGCTTGTTGGCTCAATGCTTTTACTATTGCAGAAGACAGTTTGACACTTTGACTTCAGCAAAAGTTACAAAACAGAAACTTCTCAAAATACTTCTAGATCATTTGGACTACTGAACTTCTGGATTGATGACCAAACTTTTAAGAACACTTTCCTCTGGGCTAGAAAAACTTACTCTCTACGAGGATAGAAGTTAGCTCTTTGTTTTAAAGAGAACAATGCTTCCCTAACCAAATTCTTGGCGTGCGTGTGCCATCACATTGAACCTGTTATTTTTTATTAGTGTCAATATTCAAGAAAGATACACTAATGGATCTCAGAACATTTTCAAGAATATCTGGAAAGGGTGTTTCTTAAAGATATTATAGAAAGGAACTACTTTTTTTCTTTAAATTATATTGATCACCATATTTTAATGGGCCTTATGCTATTATTGATCATGCTACTTGGTGTCATATGCTTTTGCTGGTCAAATTTTGGTGCTGTGAGTGTTTATTGGTTTATCAATCATGGTACTCTAACCTGTCTTAACTAAATCAGGAAATGAGCTCCCTGCTGATCTCCTTCAAACTTTCTTGAAGATGGCACCTACAGCAGATGAAGAACTCAAACTTAGACTGTTTGCTGGTGGACTTTCTCAACTTGGGCCTGCTGAGCAATTTATGAAAACCCTGGTTGACATCCCATTTGCTTTTAAACGAATGGAAACACTTCTTTTTATGTGCACTGTTAATGAGGAAATTGCTGCTACTAGAGAGTCCTTTCAAACCTTAGAGGTAAGACATGGTGTTTTAAATTGTATTACTTACATGCTTTTAAATCCTGCGTTTTTGGTTTCATAATTCACATGAAGCATGTCATACATCATAATACTGGATTTTTTTTTATAGTAATATATGAACATTATCCATAAGCATTCTAATGTTAACATTCATAGTCTTCTAATTTAGCCTCTCTTAATTGCCTCCCTTGTTTATTAATGCATGTTCTCTACTCCCTATCATGTGTTTGTCTTGTCAATTGCAATCATGGATCCTGGTTATAAAACAAAAATGTTATAGCCACCCATTTATATCAGTGAAGATTATACTTACAAGCATGGGGGAGGGGAGGGCTATTCTAATTAGGAAAGCAATGATTTGAATGCACTACTCTCAAGTCTTAGAATATGCCAATTAGATTAACTGAAGGTACTTGGTGCCAACAAGTGAACCCTTCTTGAGAAGGAAGAGTAAGTTTAGTGTGTGGTTAATTACTTTTTCAAAAGAAAAATGACTGCTTATGTGAATTGGTATTAGTAGATGCAGAGATCGGTTTATTTGGTGCAATTCAAATCTAAAGCAATATTTTTGTGGTATTTTAACCATTTGAAAGAATTTGTTTCTGTTCGTGGTCCATTTTTAGCAGTTGAGAATGAGATTTTCCTTTAATTGGCTTAGTCATATTGTCTTGTCAGCATCAGTGATCTAGATGTCCTGTAATCATGCCTATAATGATACCCTGTCTCCCATCACAAAGGAAATGTTAGCATTTTGAAGGGACAGGAGATTTTCCACTTTCATTTAGGATGTGCATGCTCTGATGTTCATGTCTGGTTAAAATCCATTTCTGCAAAAGACATTATGACATAATTGGTACTCTGTTGATTCCCATTGAATTCTACACAGTTTCTCTTTGTTCTCACTCTCTTGTCCTGTATATAAACTTTTGAATATAGATGGCATTCCTGGTTCCAGTGCCTTTGAGCATGCATATTTAGTTCTTATTCAATCTTTTCTTATGTTGAAGGTTGCTTGCAAGGAACTCAGAAGTAGTCGCCTATTCCTCAAGCTTTTAGAAGCTGTTTTGAAAACAGGAAATCGGATGAATGATGGAACATTCCGTGGTGGTGCACAAGCTTTCAAACTTGACACACTTCTGAAGTTATCAGACGTAAAAGGAGTAGATGGCAAGACAACACTCTTGCACTTTGTTGTGCAAGAAATAATCCGTACTGAAGGTGTAAGGGCTGCCCGTATTGCAAGAGAAAGCAAAAGTTTTAACAGCATCAAGTCGGATGATCTTCTTCAGGAAGTTACCCATGACACAGAGGATCACTATCGCAATCTTGGTCTTCAGGTGGTTTCAGGTTTGAGTGGTGAACTTGAAAATGTGAAGAAAGCAGCAGCAATAGATGCCGACAACTTAACAGGGACAGTTTCCAAACTTGGCCATCAACTCCTAAAAGCACGTGATTTTCTAAACTCAGAGATGAAGAGTGCAGAGGAAAGAAGTGGGTTTCATGAATCATTAAAGAGTTTTGTGCAGGGTACTGAGGGTGATGTCATGTCATTGCTAGAAGAAGAAAAGAAAATAATGGCTTTGGTGAAGAGTACTGGTGATTACTTCCATGGGAATGCGAGGAGGGATGAAGGCCTACGCTTGTTTACTATAGTGCGTGACTTCTTGATAATTTTGGATAAGGTGTGCAAAGAGGTAAGAGAGGCACCGAGAAAGCCAACAACAGCACAGAAAAAAGAGACACCACACAATCCATCACCTCCCTCCAAATCTCGCTTTGCACCACCTTCTCCCGATCCTCATCAGAAGCTCTTTCCTGCAATTGCAGAAAGAAGGATGAATAATTCTGCTTCTAGCTCTAGCTCAGATGATGAGAGTTGATTGTAATATTTTGAAAACGTATTTCAATTTTCTGAGATAAACTTCAGAACTCAACTCTCATTTCTTATTGACAATGTGATCTCAGTTCCTTATTTCTTCAGATGCCTGCTGTGTTGAAAGTTGAAGATGAACATCCTGGAGCTTAGGCGATAATTTTGGTTGATGGAAAGAGTTCATCCTGACGATAAGAAGAAAGGAACTAGCAAATGGTGTTTGTACTTGAATGCTAGATTGTAGCATGGCCAACATCACCATTAAACAGTAGACTTTATCTACATTTGAGTATCGTCAGGGATTGCCTTAGAGGTTGATATTCATTTCCCTTTTTCATTCTCGGTCCAACCTGTGCATTATTAGTTGGTTACATGCAGATCCCTTTATTTTTCTCCCAACTTGTAATTCTTTGTTAACATTCTGTTGATATTAATGACTTGAAATCTGGAATTCTTAGCAAGGTAGTCTTCAAATCAGAAACAGCTTAACTTTG